AAATCATTGGGAAATCTGTCAGCAAGTTCATGACTTAAGTAATTTTCAGTTTTTATTATTGTATTTTTTGCAAACCTTTGAAATGGACCCTACCCCCACTTTGTTCTAGGTAGATTGTTGCAAAATATACCACTGCTCTTAGTGCTAAGTGGTGATAAAGAGTCGCTTTGTATTTCCTGTTACTTCCTTGTTAAAAACAATAAAAGCTTCCTATGTTTCTTAACTTTAAAACATATTTCTATTGCCTGATGTTTAGAAAACCCTCAATTATGTATTCTCTAATTCTTTTCTAACCTTTAAATAAAATACACAAGTTAAATTCATTTAGCATGTTATATAGGATGCAGAAACTGCAGGGTCTAAGCTATCCAATTATTCCACAATCGATTGAATGCCAGATGCTGTACCTTTAAGGTTTCTCCTTTTTTTTTTTTTTTTTGACTTTGAGACAAGGTTGCACTATGCAAGTCAGGCTGACTTTGAACTCACTGGGTAGCCCAGGTTGACCTCAAACTCATAGTGATCCTCCTGCCTCAGGCTCTCAAATGCTAGAATTATAGCCACGCATTACTATACCTAGCCTCTGCTCCTTTAGAGAGGAACAAATTACTGCTGCAACTATTTTGGTCTCTTTGAGTTGTACTTTCAGTGATAGTGAATCTTAAGAATAGACACTTTAATATAAATGAATAAAGCATAGACATGAGACAAAGTGTTCTCATGTGCTATGAGATAAAAGTAATATAAGTTTTAATGGATCTCAACATATTGGTGAGATCATAGGCTTCTTCCAAAAATCTGAGGGACTCAATGGGCATTTTCTTTGGAAAAATGAATCATTGTTATGATGTCACAGATGAGCCCAAAACCCATTTTGTGGAACAAACCATAGCAAGAACTTCTGCCTGAGAACTTGGACCATGACGTTAGTTAATCTACATCTTCTAAGGCCCTGTAACAGAGTGCACATAAGACACCCACTCAGTGATAACTGAGCAAGGTAATCAGCTACAGCTATATTAATTGTCCTTTTTAACTTAACATTAAAAATCCTAGACATATTTACATCCATTTTCCATGTTCATCTGTTATTTGTTTTATTTAGATTTTTATTTTAAGGGAGAAAGGATTTTATACCCTGCCCTGAACTTGGTCCAGGTTGGGTCATCCCTAAAATGAAAGGTTAATTCTGTGATATCCTCTGACTTTCATGCAAGGCAAAGTCTTACCAGCAGCTGTGGGATCTATCTGCATCTCCTTCCTTGTCCTCACTGTCACACACAAAGAAAAGCAGGCCTTCTTTTCCTGTTGGAGAACTTGCGCACATGGTATTGTCTCTGCCTGAGATACACCTCTTACCTTATTTTATCTACTGGATCGAGGGAGCCAGCACTTGTCATGGCCTGGTAGAGCGTTTGATAAGCAGTGGCAAAGATGGAGAATTATAGGGCACGGGTGAGAGAGGCAGGGGCTGCAGGTAGAGAAAGTAGGGAGGGGTGCACCTGAGGGTGAAAGGGATCAAGACTTCTACCCTGGAAATGTCTGGTTTAAAATAACCACAAGATACCCAAGAGGAGACGCTCAAAGGGGCTAATGTACAGTGTTCAATATATTAATTGCATTGGAGTCAAGCAAACTGATGTATCTGCTTAGGAGATTATAAGGAGAAAGCTGACAAAGGACTCAGAGTAGAATCCTGAGATATGCTTAGATTAAGTTTATTACTATTCGCTAGACATCTTTTTACAATCTATAATAAAATGAAAACTCTTCAAACCCTAAATCATCAAAAGTAACAAAATTATATTTATTACATTAAAATATGTTCTTGACTTTTATTTTAAGACATAATTCTTCTTTATCGCTGCCTTGAAATCCTCTTCACCAAGTAGCTGCTATAGAAAATATTGGTATCTGTTTGTTATTAAAATAATTAAAGGGGTATGCATGGCCTTTTGGATTCATGGTGACAGGAAGCAGGCTCCAGGGTGATGGCAAAAGTTTCTGAACCAACACATCTGCCTGACACTAACTTGAAACTCTAGTCACCCATATGACTGAGAATCTTTGCCATCAGATGCTTGTAGCAGTCAGCAGAATTTGGAGTTAAAATTTGCTATGTATAACATAGTTTGCTATAACACATAGGGCATTAATTTGGAATAATTGTAAATACAGGCAACTGACAGGTATTTTCTCCGTGGCCAAGCTTTAGTCAGAATTCTTTATCTTCTGCTAGGCCTACCTCTGTACTCCCTTATAAAATCCAGTTTTGGCAAAAAACCTTGTTAAGTCAGTTTAGCAAGAACCTTGTAGCCTGGATATCTGATTGTCCTGCATATCTGATCAGGTTCTTTATCCTCCACCATCCTCTTGTGACTTGTACTCATTCGTGATCCAGAATGAGTATGATGTCTAAGCATCACATCTTCAGTAAGAATCTTGGTAGATCAGTTTAGCTAGAAGTACCTTTACTCCCACTGTTCCATCCACTTATCCCCAGCCTGTTTTGTGGATATAAATCTCCACTTGCCCACGCCGATTTGGAGCTAGGCCCAATCTCTCTCCTCCACTATAGGTCCTCATTGCAGTGGTCTCCATAGCTATGGTAGTGTGGTCTGTATCATGAAAGACCTCAGTCAAATCTGCTTTAATAAACATGAATACATAATTTCTTGTTTAACACATCCTGGGTGAATATGTAGTCTTTGTTGACTTGTATATTCTAATGTCAAATAACTTGATCTCTTTCACTATGGCAAAGGTTAATGATAACAGCAATCTGTTCCATTAGTGCATGATACTCATTCTAAAAGACAATTATAGTGTTGAAAAGAGAAGCCTACATTGTCATAGATAACACCAAAGCAGAGTTGAGGTTTCCACCCTGCTCTGAAGGGGCCAATGAGCTCACCAAGGATGAAGAAGGCACATTTACCTCCCATCATAAAAGGGGAACATGACTTGATCTATGACTGCATGGTCTCTAGTTACAAAAAACATCTCGCTAGGCTTTGCTCAAAATCAGCATTACCTTTAAGAGAGTCCAATTGGTCAATTCCTGGACCAGGAAAGACTCTTTCCTGTTATAATAATTCATAGGCTTCCCTGGACTCATTATCCAAAATTAAAGAGCGGTGCTTTCAACCCCTTAGATCTCTTCACTCTGGTGAACAAGCATGCTATGTCAAGGGCATTTGTGGCCTCAGAGTTAAACACCTGCAAAAAAACACCTTAAGCAGTAACTCTTCCTCGTCCTGTATTTCCTCAATCCTTTATGCTGCCCAAAGTTTTCCATTCAGCTGGATGTACTATCGGCCATTGTAAAGGTGGCCACGCAGACAGGTCCAGTCATGCCTGTAAAAGAGCAGCTTTTGGGAAAACAGAATGATCATTGAGAGAGAAATGGAGCTAAACTTCAAGGAGCGTGCATAGCAACGCAGACACATCTCAGAGACAAGAGCCTCAAGAGAAGCAGAACCCTGATCTGTCTACAGCTTGCACAGGGAAAGGGCAAAGAAAATTCTTTTCCTCTGTCCCTTCTCCTCTTCCCTGAATTCTGTAGCTCTGTCTTTAGGATCCAGACTTCTAGAAACATAGACAAAATATTTTACCCAGGCCAGTAATGACGCAGGAAGAGTAGGGCCCCTGATTCTACCTTGGCTTCTTTCCTTGATTGTAAACTTGTTGGATTTCTTTCTTTGTTTGGTTTCTTTCTTTATCTCTCTGTCTCTCTCTCTGTCTCTCTCTCTCTCTCTTTCTTTGAGGCAAGGTTTCACTATGCAGTTCAGGCTGGCTTTGAACTCACTTTATAGCCCAGGCTGACCTTAAACTCACAGCAATCCTCCTGCATCAACTTCCCAAATACTAGAATTACAGGCCTTTGCCACCACCCCTGGCTTGCTTGTTTGCTTGCTTTCTCTTTCTTTTCCTTCATTCCTTCCTTCCCCTCTTCCTCCCTTCCTTCCTTTGTTCTTCCATTTTCTTGCATTACTGAGAAGTCAACATTTATTCACCCCAAAATGGTACCATTTTCATTGAATTCACCAGTTGACTTTCTTGTCATTATGTGATACACTTGGTCTGAATTATGTATACAAAGAGACTTTTAAAAGACACAGGATTAGTCCTCAGTTGTACTTGGTGAGTCAGCTGGGAGTGGAAATACCATTAGTAGCATAATTCTGAATATTGTACAGGGATTAGCATTAAGATAGACCTCCTTCTTTGTAACTTGAAGACACTGAACAATGTGTCTAAGCAGGTGTCTCTGAAATATCTCTGCCTTCAGAGACAGAAATGAAAGCAATAAATGTCCCGGGAGGGCTTCAGATCACAATCGAGGTCCTTCCATTTATAACAGATTGCACTCAACCCAACTGAGAACTGCCCTATGGGAAGTTGTTGCACACAATCTTTGCCCTGAGCTATATTTATTCTTGAGGAATAGTGACTCATCAAGGGCAAAAGATGCTACTACTTTGGATTTTTGTGGCAAAAAAGGGGTTTCTCCACCTGAGAGGACACTTTATTTAAGTATAACATGCTAGTAAATTATAGCATTCCAGATAATAATGTGCAGCAAATGTGTTTCTATTTGGGCTGTCAGTGGAAACCACTTGAAGGAAATACTGGATGTTTGCCAAGTATAGGATTTCAGTGCAAGGACTATGAACTTAGCTCCATCATGAACCATGTTCTGCCTTCCCTTGGCCATCTAGACAGCCCTCTATCCAAGAAAAATGAGTTCACAGAGGACTTTGTAACTATTGTAGGCAATGTAAAATAAAACTCTCTTTTTTTCTTTGTATGTATACTGTAGCCGTAACTGTTTCCCCTAGGGTACCTCCTAGAGACACATAATTAACCCAGAGAGAAAGAATGCAAAATTGAAACCTATATCATTCATGATCCAGAATCATTTAAGTCTTGAGTATACTAAGCCTTAATGTTATCTTTGAAATCTTTTAATCTATTTAGAGTTTCATCTTTGCTTGCAGTTGATCTGTGGGCCCAATGGAAAGTCACTCTCAAAACAGATGGAAGAAAATATGTCATAGCCACACAACTGCACAGGAATCTCAGAGTGACTACAAAGGATCAGAAGTCCTGTTCTTCATTTAGAATCTGAACAGAGTTCCAAGGAGCGCTAAGTGAGGAAAAACAGCAACATGAAACAGAAGAACCACAGGAAAAACCAAGATAATCAAACCCAGATGTAATGGTGTTAACTCAGAAAGCAGGCAAGAACTTTAAACAATGTTAAATTAATAGTACGATCTGATATTCAAGATGGTATTGTATTTGACTGCAAGGAGGAACCACTCAAGTATAAAGAAAGAGTTCACTGTTTATGCCATCTGTGGGCACTTTGAACTACAAAGGCAAAGGCCACTAGAACCTCAAAGCTTGAATGCCTGACCGTTTGTGGAGTTTGCCAAAGCCTTGTCAGCCAGGAAGAGGAATTCCTAGGAACAAGGAAGATACGGTTATAAACAACTAGGAAAAAAATACCTAAAAATGACCATTTTAGGTAGTGACATGTGCTATGGAAAATACAATATGGTTGTGAGACAGAGGTACTAAGGGCAGTAAGATGCAAACTGGTGGGAATGGGAGGCAAAGATTGTGGTCATGATTGATCAAGGTAAGGTGGAGGACACAGCATTGCACAAGAGAGTCTAGATTTGAGTGTACCATGCCAAACGGGACCATTCCTAGTGAGAATGGCCATAAGTCTGTGGCTGAGCTTATTAGGTGACAAAGGCATATTCACCCACACACATTTTGTCCAACTCTGCCTGAGGCAGCTATATCTTTCCCAAGTTTTTCCAACATTCTCTCTAATCCCACAAGTTGCTCCCATGGTGTGATTTTTACGCTATTCCCAACAAAAAGTAGGATCTGTTTCTCTGCCTCTTTACCTTGGGTTGGGTTCCAGCTATGGGAGACCTAATGCTGGGACTTGAGAACTTAGAGCTCTAGACCTTTGCTCCTTAGGGCAGTCTCCTCCCCCAGCTGTGTTCCCTGAACCCCACCAAAACTGCAGACAGTGATGAGTTGACATTTCAGGTGCCAGGCAAGCTATGCGATGGAAGATTGGATAGTATCTAAATAATCTTTCAGATTAGTCCTTTTCTTCAATCTGCCAGGGGATTAAAAATATGTAAAGCACTCTTTTGTTTGTTAAAATTCTCCCTTTTCTGTGATTTCAGTTCTAACCAAACAATGCCAATAATTGCTGACCCTCTAAAATTGGTCTTCTCTGATGATGTTTTTCCTCCTAAGATTAACTAAGAGCTTTTACCCAGGGTCATTGCCTTTTTAATAAAATATTTTACTGCCCAAGAAACATGTGTCTTTGCATATTGTCTGGGATATGTAGTTTATGTTTTCTAATCTCATGGATTTAATAGTTTTTCCAAACTGCCTGACTTCTGAAGAACTTAATACTCTTTTGCTTTAAGTTTCAGCAGGAAATAAAGTAAATACTACTTTGCTAACTGGAAGAACTTGAAGTTGCACTGTTAGTTTTTTTTTATAATCTTTTGGCATGCTAAAAAATGTGTGAGGCTGTTTGGAAGCCTGGGCCTCAATTTCTCTCTCTTGATCTCACCTGATGCAGAATGTTCCTGGCTGGGCTAAGTGTGCTCTCCCTCCTCACTCTGGTCTCTGAAACACTTGAGCTCTGTATGTACCAAATGCCTGCCAAGCCACCCTGGGAGAAAGGGGACGCACACAGTGCTCTGGGAGAGGAGGCTCCAGGCCAGGTTTCTGGTCTACCCACTCCACTGGCCCCTTCTTTGGGCAGATGCTCTGGGAGCTGACTCAGGCTGCCTTGCTGCTCCTGAACTGTTAATGACCCCAGGAACTCTGACAGATTAAATCAAATTATACATGCATCAGCCCCTGGAGCTAAATGTAATGGCAGTTTGAAGATGAATTTGCACCACAGACTACAAACCACATAGTTACCTTACCAGAGTACTTATTGAGCTCCTGTCTCTGGGCCTGAGGCTACACCTACATCCAAGAGGCCCCAGGAGCAGTCTCAGAAAATTGTTAACTTAACATTTTGTTTAGACTAAACTCAGCAGGTTCCAATTGCACTGCTCCCTCCAGGGGGCTGTAAGATACAGGTAATATATTGCATCTCAAACCTTCTGAGGAGGCCAACTACCTGACAGGATATTCTCTCTGAGGCTGGGGAGTTGTTAGAACAAGAGAAAGATGAAGAGAAAACTTTTGAGGTGTTCTTACATGGGGTAAAAACAAGCAAAATGATAGAATGGGGCTACAATGTAAATACATACTGAAATAAGAGAGTGGCATTTTTAAGAACCTGGTATTTACATTTTGGACTTATTCTGTAGTCTGAGATGTGGTCTGTCGTTTGCTCCTTCATATTCTGTCATTTTTGTAATGGAAGTAAACTGCAAATTAAACTATTAGCCTACAATCTGAAATCTAAACTCCTTCCATTGTTCATAAATATTTTTTACAGTGAGAGAGTAAATGTTGGTCCTTTCATTCTCCTATCTTCTAAACTCTCCCTCACCCCTTTAGACTTTCTAGATTTCTGACATTAATCATTGACTAGGCCATCTCTCCTCTTTTCCTGAAAGAATTTGCACTCAATTTTTCTGCTTACAAAAATACTTCATGTTGGGGATTTAGCTCAGTGGCATAAGCGCCTGCTTGACAAGCACAAGGTTTTGAGTCCAATCCCTGGTACAAAAAAAAAAAAAAAAAGTTCATACATGTTTGTTGCTACTTATACGGAAAATACAGATACACTCAGAGTAGAAAATAAAAGTTTCCCTATTCATATCACCAAGACATAAACACTACTCTATGATTCTATGATGTGTATGTGTGTTTATAAACAGTATTATAATGTACATATAATGCTTTGTAAAGTAGCTTTTTCATTTCTGTGTGAAAACTGCCATTCCAGGTCATGAAATGTATTGCAAAGTTTGTAGAGTGGGCCAGTGCTATGCGAATCATAATTTAGTAAAGTAATTCGTTATTGGAAGACACTGGCATTTCTTCTGAGCATTTCGCTAAGGCTGTGATGAATGTCCTTGTAAATATACCTTAGTGAACACTCATAACTACTTACACAAGAAACATTCCTAGGAGTCAAATGACTGGGTTGTACGTTATGCAGCAAATGGAATCACTGGTGTATCTCTACTCAGTATGCGTTTGGAAAGTTGCACTAATTAAGACCTAACCCATTTCAAAAGTAGCCATTTCTTTGATTTCCCTCTCCCCCAAAAGGTACAATTTGTTTAGGTTGTTTAATCTTTTTAAATTGAAAATGAGAATAAAAATCTCATTGCTTAACTAGCAATTTTATGATTCCTCTGGATGATGCATATTTTAGATACTTATTTAAACTGATTATTCACTTAATATGCCCATTTTCCTACCGAAGTTGGTATTTTTATATTTTATTTTGTTTGGATTCCTTGCATATGGAAAATATTAACATTCCAGAAAAATGAAAGATGATGGAGCCATTATTCGAAGTTCAGGAAATAGGAGTTGTCGTAGAATTAAAAAGAGATGGAAGGAAAGTCTCGTTATGGACATACCAAAGTTTTAGTACCATGGGCATCCTATTGAAAAAGGTACCTTTCTCGTTCTGAACTCAGTTAAGTAGTCTGGAATGCAGATAAATTTTTTCATTCTTGTTTAAGTGGAGAAAAAAGGAATAGAAAGCAGATTTCAGTGAGAGAAAGAGAAATGTTAGAAAATGATCATTAAGAATTTTAAACATTTCCAAGTGTAGATGAAAGATTGTAACAATCTTGTAATCCTTTCCCTGATTAGTGCTAACCTGCACACAGAATCCAGTTTGCTTTTTGATTTTGTGGTCTTGGCTTGATAGTCTTACAGAATAGACTGCAGTGAGTGGTAAGACTATACTTTCAGCAGTCACTTGGAATAACATCTGTCTTTTTATTTCATGTCTCATAAGTTTACTCAAAGTAACTGTTCAATGTCTGATTTCCACTCACCAGGCTGACATATTTGCTTTTATAGCCCAGTGGCCTTAAAAAGTAGTTGCAAGCTAGGTATGGTGGTACAAGCCTATAATCTTAGCCCTATGGGTGGCCCAAATGGGAGGATAGTGAGTTCGGGTCCAGCCTGAGCAATTTAGTGTCTTAGCAAACCTTGTCTCAAAATGAAAAATAGAAAGGATTGGGGATGTAGTTCAGTGCAAAAGGTCCTAGGTTCAACCCCCAGAACAGCAACAACAACAACAAAATGACAAAGAAAATAGAAAAGAAGAGAAAAAATAAAGAAATTAGCGCTTTCTGAGGATTAATGATCAAAATTGTCTTCAAAAAATTAAATTGGTATGGATCTCAAATTTAGAAGAAGCAGAATAAAAGAGATGTTTTCTTGGAAGTCAACTTTTTCTTGGCTTTGCAGGTAAATATGACACAGGGACTACCATGATGGGATGGTGGTGGGTAGGAAGCTGGGATGACAAACCTCTGGGTGCAGTGAGTCATTGTCCTTTGTATCATGGCATGTTTCAACAGACCTGTCTTGAGCCCTTGATAAAACTACAAAAGCAGAATGTTCTTGTAAGAGGAGGAATGGTTACCAAGGAAAGAAGTCTAAATAAGTCCCCTAACTTTACTTGCTCTTAGTCAACTTAAAGATCATTAACTTGGAAGGTCACATGGCTGGACAGTACATTATTAGTTTCCCACTAACTATGCTGTAGATAACACCTCTGACATGTGAGTTATAATAATAGCTTCCTGTACTACCTCCATGGGACCTAGAGGCCACTTTTGCTGACTCATCCCTTGATCCTGCAGAAATTTGAAGGTGTCTAAAATGAAATAAAAGGCTTGACTTCTGTCTTCACGTTGTTCCCTTTGCAGTCTTAATGCTTGGATCTGATTGTACTCAGCTTTGCATGTAGACATGTTGATCATTTTAAAAATGACTATAGCTCAGAGTTCACTTAGTGTATTGCATGCTGGGGCTTATACATTTTTTTTTCTTTTTCTCTCCCCTGTTTTCTTGTCCTACCCTTGTGCTTCTCAGAAAACCATAAAAAAAAAAAAAAAAAAAATCCAAGCACCTAAAGTCTTTTGGCCTTATCATGGGGCCTGGACTTTCAAGACCAGGATGCTTTCTGCAGCTAAACAAAAATCCAGCATCCTTTAAGACAAATTGATCATGACCACAAGGTCCAAGTCCTTCACAAGAAAAAATAATGTCTTTGGAACTGTACTCCTACCCAGTGGGAATTACTGGTGGTTACCTTACCCTAGGAAACTAATAAAAGCCTGCTTCTCTCTTTGTTCTGTAACCCACAAATCAGTCACTCTCTTGACTAGCTGCTGATTTCTCTCAGCTGAGGACCTAGTGCAACTGAAGTACCCTGACCCTATAAAGCTTAATCTGTTTAGGAGAGTGTATACTTGCAACATTTGACCCAGTATCATTTCTAGCATTTCTGGTTCAAAAAATTTCTTCATAGGATATCAGATACACCAATTCTACAATGGATGATGTTAGATGGGGGTGAATTAAGCATCAAACACAAAAGGTGTACTGAGGTGTAATGGATACTCTGAATTAGCACCCTACCTCTGAGGAGGGATTAAACTGTAAAAAAGAAAGTGAAAAATATGGGAACTTGGGGACCAGGGATCTAGCTCAGTGGCTTAAGCACCTCCCTGGCAAGGGCAAGGTTGTGAGTTCAATCTCTGGTACCAAAAAAAAAAAAAAAGGAGGAATTTGACGAGAAAGCAAAGCTCAGATTAGTCAAAAGCGTTACCTATTCCTGCTGATAGAGTTTACCAGTAGCTGGGAATTTGTAAAGGCAGGTTAGCCAGTAAACAGCAGGCTTTGTTCAAACTGAAACTGATGTCATGAAGGCTTCCAGTTAGAGGGACTCATCGGGCCCAATGAGAGCTGCCTGCACCTTGGGGAAGGTAGAAAGTGCTGTTTCTGATGACCTAGCCAGTTCCTGAGATCCACAGCACAGTCTTTAAGAGGAAAAAAGAAAAACAAGTTTCAGGGAAATTAACCAGATGGTCAGAAAACATCTCACCTAGTGAGGAGTGTTTATTCGCTTCCATCCATAACTCCACTGAGAATAAAAGACAAAACTTTCACACTGATGGAAAGAAATCAGAAATGAAGGGAAGCAATGTCTAACAAAGCAGTGGTAAAACCCCAAAATTCATGAAGTCTGTCTGTTAAGATTAAAGAAATAAAAAATGGTATAATCTACCAAATTGATTTTTGTTTTCAATTTTTCCCTGAATATAGTGCTTAATATTGTGATCATATACACTGAA